ACTCCAAGTGACAAAATCACAGGGTCACTTCTACAAAGTACAGTTCAAACACGAATAGCTTTGTTTCATGAATTAATTTTTAACAGATTGATGTCTTCAAAGTCATTCAAAAAAAGCTTGAAAAAAAAAAAAGAACCTCATATGGATCATCAACATAGTATTTTGGACGTAACCAAAATGGTGTCATCATTCGATCTAACATCCAACACTCTTCTTTTGTACAAGTTTCATAATAGTAACTCATCTACAATTTTCAAAGATTTATCGACATTGCTCAAGCACTATTTCTTGATTTAGCATTTAACTAATAAATACTGAATTCTTTCTTTAAAACAAATTAGACGTATCCAGTTATCCAGCTTTTGTAATTCAATCATGAGCTAGATTCTTTCTTCAACAGATTATAAGGTCAATTTTAATATATATGATCATAACAGTATGATCAATTCAATGAAACTACACTAGTTAGAAAACTGATTAATTCTTCAAGCACAATTATACAGTTGCATTACTTTCAAACTACCTACAAAACTAAATACCTCCGAATGAATATTACAGCTTCTTCAAATACTCTGAAAATGAAAGATCTAACTTTTCAGATAATTTCATACGTATATTTTTAGTAAAACTGTAATATTCGGAATTCATCCATTACTAATTCAAAAATACAAGTACTTGTATTCAAAAAACCTTCAAGAATGTTTCGTCTTTTTTGTAGCGTTTCACATTCCTTCCCATTTGAGCACGTATCCACATGCCATTATTAAGACGTTTGAAACGATCTAGCACATCTTGACAAGGTCTTTTGCGTCCTTCTTTTGGATCAAACCTAAAATGAAAATAATCGTAAACAAAGAATCCTTGATAACCTTCTCTAATTATAAGGAAAATAATTTTGATGATGAACACAATTAAGATCAGTAATTTCTTTTTGGTAGCAACAAATTCGATTGATTTGCATTCTAAAAGTTTAGAAATTCTAAGTAAAAAACAAATTAAATTCGCGCAAGCTTTGCATCATACCTGATATGGTATTCCCAATGAGGTATTCTTGCAATGCCACGTCTAGTAATTTCTATACAGTTTTCAACTACAAGTGATATCCTTCTACTTCCATTTAGAAACGACGCCATTTTAGACTTAGTTAAGTGTAAGCCCGTTGCTTATTGATACATCACTCTAAAATATGCTGCTTTACAAAACTTGGAGATACTTTGGTAGCGCTAAAAATGGTTCGTAATTTTTCGGGTATTAGGCATAATGAGATATTCTTTCCGCATGCTAATCACAAATGTGTCGAACGTAACCCTTTGATATGCAAATTTCTCTCAACCTCTGCAAGTTTATTTATTGACATCCTTTAGAAAAATACAAAACTTAGATCTATGAATTTGAAGTTAACATGGCTTAGCTGCTGAGTTGACGTTTCTGAATAATAAACGAAAACATTATATTAATTTTTATCACGTCAAAAAATATCACTTAAATGGGCAAAGCTAGCAAACATATATAAAGCACTTTGGACTATATCACATTATATCAAAGCAAGTACAAAAATTGTACAAGTACAATATGCGTAAATGTAGATAATTACTTTCGTTAATTCTGATTAACTAATCGGAAAGGAAATTTAAAAATGCAAGTCATGACCTAATTAGATAATGAAAAATTCACCCTAAGCATACTATAATAAGTACTTTATTTGAAAAAGCAAACTACAGAAATCCTCAATAGCAATATCAAAATACAGTGGAGCAATCCTATACTCAGAAGAAATAATCACATTGCTGTGATAATTATAATAGCTTGGCATCAATAAATTTAAAACGAGTGTGATACGCACTAAAAACTATCTAAACTACTTTTTAATTCTTTTCTAGGAAGAAAACGCTAGATAATAAAATGATCTGATCCGCAAGAAAGATACAATACTTTATAAGTACTCAATTTTTTTGCAAATAGGCAATATTTAAATTATATGTCTTCAAATCAACTATCTACGAAAACAAACGAATATTATGCATCAACATGAAAGATCCATCGTACACATGTACCAAAACAATTAAACGCTATAGTTCGAAATTGAAATACCACAGCAACAGCAATCGAAAACATATAATTTATAGGATTCAATTACTCAATTACAGCTAGAAGGGGAGAAATCCTTAAATCAAAACTTTCATACAATTATGTGTTCTGAACATGCGAATTACTCAAATACCTAAAAATGATTAAATCTTTTCAAGATCTTCACCAGTCATGAAGTATCTATATTCTACATTATTGGGTGATAATAATAACCTGATCTATTCATATAATAATACATTCGTTATCACATTTTTTCTAATATAAGTAGCTAGTACGAAAGCAAATGAAGCGCAAACAAATTTAAGTAGATAAAATTTGTACTAATTCTTAACAACAGCATCACGTACAACAGCAATAAAATCACACCTCTGAGGTCACATAAATCTATTAGTAAGGTAAATATAACCAGAATACATGAAATGCAAGACAATGAAACTTGAAACTTCGTTACAGTTTTTCAACAACATGATTCATAATGTCCTACGATATTTTAATAACGTTGGTAAATGTTATGGGTGAGAATTAGATGATTGTAAGCAATAATTAAAGAAGATTCCTAATATGAAACACCAATTCGATGAACAAAAGAATTAGCATCAACTTGACGAGCCATGACCACTATCTTGTTCTGAATCATCCTTCTGATCCTGATGAATACTATTGAAATCACTGTGTAGAATATTTTTGGTACGCTGCGCACACTCACTGATCTCCTAAAAAGGATAATAATTATATTAACAAAGTGTATATTACATATTCTTTTTTATTGAATAGTACTGATAAAAGACATCCTAATAAAGAACAATATGGCACTGCAAAAAAGTATAAAAAACAAGACTCATAAATACGATTCACTGCAATCGAATGAATGATATGGAAAATATTCAAGCTTATATAATAATGTTTATGGTTTTCGAAAATTTCTAAAACTCACATTCCTTTAATCAAAATCTGATTTTATTGAATAAAATATTCTCTGTTAATGATAAAGAGGGCAATTTTTGATATTTTAAAAAAAATTATTGGTGACGAAACTTAAAAAATAAAAGAAATACTTGATCTTCTAAAAAAGTTACAAACAAAAACTGGTTCTACTTTTCACGGATGTGCGTTTCAGCGTAACTCACTTCAATAATTTGAGAATGACTTCGAAGCATGCCCGACAAATCATCAGTGCTCATTATCACTTCTGCATTTTTATTTTCTACAGAGCTGTCGCTGTCACAACTATCAAGTAATGTAAACGATGAAGTTTTAGTGACTCCTTCGGGCAATTCTGTTCGATATCTGAAGTCCGCAAGATCTGCTGACAGCCTAAACATTTACTGATGTCTCTACAATCTTTATCCTTTATTTACAACTTAAAAGAAAAAACTTTTAAATGAAAAAATGCTACTCTAATGCGAAAAGATTGAATACATGATATTATTTATAAAAACAGATAAATAAAACTTACGCAACACTTTCAACATTCTGTTTCCGCTTATTCTGCATCAATTGCTGAGCAAGTAATATCACACCAGAACCGAGATTTCCACTTTTTATTGCCGTTAAATCAGTTGCTTCCAGATGATCATCAAAAAGAGCAGGATTAATTGTTTTATCACAATCAAAAGTGAACTAAAAATAAATTAAATTAAGCTTAAAAAATACTTATTGCAACTTTTTCAATTCAATATAACAATAAGTTGTAAAGATGACTTTTTTACTTGCCATGATCAAACTCAACAATGCATTTCGTTCTAGAAAATTATATATTTCACTTGAGTACACTTAATAATTTTTTTTTTTACTTAAAAGAACCGCAGACATCTCAACTTTCTACAACAGTATAAACTGTTCAAAAGCAACCTTAATTCCTTCCAATGATATATTGTTTGCCATATTAGCTTCATGCCGTTGATCCTGCTTCCCAATTTGATGCTGTGAATCTTCCTTTCTACCATATGCTACCTCACAAATTGGCAAGTCTGGCGATTCACAGCCAACGCCGGGTTCACGCTTTATACTTGATAACTAAAAAATTAAAGCAACGGAATAGATTTTTGAGAATAAAAATGATTAATTTCCAACAATTTCCGTATGTTATAAGTTAAAAAAACAAGAGTTGTTGAAGCTGATGTGAATAATGTATAAAAATAATACCTTGAACAGGGGAAAATTATATGCTACTAAAATTTATAGATTTAGTTCAGTGAAAAAAAATTAGTATGGCTTTACTCTAAACACTTCAAATTCTAAATTTCCTCCGTATATTATAAGCTAGTCTTCAACAGCAATACGACTGATTGTGAATTCATGACGAGATTAACATGCTAAGAGTCAATTTCTATATTTATCAAGATAAAGAACATACACTTCGCTCTTCATGTATAGCATCCGATATTTGTTCCAAATTTCTTAACGAACAAGTATAATCATATTTCTTTTGCCGTACCTTAAAAACATTCATGTATGAAATAACTGAATAAGTTAAATATTTATACATATTTTAGCTTTTTATGATAATTTTAACGACAAAAATCTAGAGAAAGCTTTGAAGTAAACCTCAGATTCAAGTTTTAAGATAAGACTTTTCTGGTGCTCCAAAATTTTGGTAAATTCGATGCGCTGTTCAAAATAATGTCGGCTTTTTTTAATAGCACGAGTATTTGCTTCTTCCATGATGGCAATTTCTTTTGATAACTGAGACATTAGTAACGATATTGAACGATGCAGTTCCTCCGCTTCTAAGCGTTCGATTTCCGCTTCATTTACCCGCAGAATATGATGGTTTAATACCTATTAAGTAGTCTGAATTACTGGTTAAATATTTCTGGCTCATTCCATGTTTCCAAAATAGCGTAGTCTATTCAAATAATATATATTTTTCCCACAAAATCTCACATAATTTTAATGATAGATTTTAAAGTAGACACATAAATTTGTAACTTCAAAATAACGCAAAGCAATATGAATTAACCTCTAAACATTCTGGTTCGATAGACTTTTGTCGATTTAAACTGTCCTGAGTCAGTTTCACTTGTTGCTTTGCAACTGCATGCATCGAATTCGCACGTTCGAAGCGTATCGCAGCATTCTGTGCCTCTTCTCGTAATTGTCTCTCCTTAAATTAGAAAACAACTTATTGCTCTAAGAAAAAATTCTACTACTGCACACAAAAGTATGATTTAAACAAATTAAGAATTTAAAAACAAACAGTCATATTATTCTTAAAAATTGAGATTTTATAAGTGTAAAAAGCAGTATGTATGAAACAATACTTGCAATAATGTTTACAACAATATACATATCTACACACAGTCAACAATACTACCGTGTTGATGACTGTGTGTAGATTGGATTTAAATTACAACGATTATATGCTTGCATATTATTTTATCAGTTTCGTAGAATCGAATGAAAACTATCAAAATATTAAATAAAAAATTTTGGTGAAAGTAAAATTTTAATTTTTTGCTAAATTAAACAAAGAAAAATTAATGAAATCTGTTCTACTTTTGACTAAAAAGCTAACAATAATTATGAAGAATTTATATTGTTGTAAAAACAAATAAGTAATTTTTCTTACTGAACACAGAATATATAATAACTTTATTAATCTACGAACAATTTTCGATAACTCCAAGGAGTTTATATTCTAGTAGTTTTTTTCAATATCATAATTAGAATATAAATACTTGATAAAGTATAATTTATATTAAAATAAAATATTAAAATCGACCTTCAGTTTAGCTTCATAATACGGTCGACCTTTCGCAATTGCTGAACCATATTTACGACTCAATTCATTCAGTTTTTGAGACCAGGATGCTTGTATATTTCTGAATTTAAAATTCATTATTTTATCAAATATATTTGATCCTAATTTCATTTCTATCATCCTATTTCATACAGCACATTTAACGCGAATATCTATACAATTTTTTAAATTGCTTTTTGTATATTTAAAATAAGCCTGAAAATAAATAAATAAATTATTCAAAAAAATTTGAGCTACCAAATTAAAAGTTGTGCAGAAATTTAATTTTGCTTACCTGAAAGTGGCTCTTGCTTCATCAAGCTGCAATTCTAATTTATTAATAACATCTGTTGCAATATTCAACTTTTCCAGTTCTTCATGGACGCGATTTAAGTGTTTAGCATCAAGTGGGAAATCATCATCTGTTACATAATCTACATAATCATTACTGCTCGCATCTGTGTAAAAGAGAATAAAAATTACGTTAAAATTATGAAGCACATTTGTTAAATTAAATTTCAAAAAACACATAGTTCCAAAAGTTATACTTCAACAAGTAATAACAATTTTCAGTACTTGAATATATGCATAATTACAATGAATAACATACATGATAAAGTAAAATAACTTACCTGTTGCATTACTGATTGAAGTACAAGCTCCTTCATGATACAAACTTACATTGCTTGCATTCATTTAATTAGTAAAGTATGTCAGTTTTGTGAATACAGTTCAGGATATAGACATCTTAGACGTTAAAATCAGTTACATAAATCATGATACTGTTCTCTGTCTAAAATTCCGAACACAAATTATTATCTAAAATTGAAAGCAAAATACATGAATTGAACGTATACACTGCATAAAATTAACTTCTATCAAGTTAACGAATGAATAAATTAATAATTTTCCCGCAAAACTGATAAGTAATTTACATATAAATTAAACGGGCTTAAAAATAAATTGATAGAAGTAATGTGTGATACTTTGTGAAAAAAGTAAAATACGTGTGAAGTTCGTACTAACTTTTTTCAAAACAATTATGATAAATAAATAACATAAGTAACAGTATGAATGATACTTTTCAAAGTTTTATAACTTCTTTAAATTATTTCTTAGATTAAAACGTTTTGAAAATTATATTTTTACACAAATTTAAAACTTTATAGATGAGGATCAATTCTGGCAAAAAATTTTTTGATCGTGAATTGATCAATTTCTAAAAAAAAAATAACACAATTTTTGAAAATATTTTAGAGAACTTGATCAGATAACAAGAAAACGTAAATTCGATCAATCAAATGCCTTTGATGTAATATTTCACGATCAAAAATAAACCACTTCAAGAAGGTACAAAAATTTACACTATTTTATGTCATGGTTAGAAGCAAATATCTGTTAAATCCTAAAAATGATAAAACTATCACTAAGGTTATCACTAATAACTTCCTCTCAATTTTAGAAAATTTATCACTGAAACTAAATATTAACACTGCTGCTCATAGTTTTACATTTGAAAGTCTTTTAGAAATAAACTCAAAGTAATTCAACAATTATGCAAACATTGTAATGAATTTAAGAATTGCTACAATACTTGTCACCAATATTCTACTAAGATAAACGCATAAACAAACGGTCAACTGCTCATTAATATGGAAGCAATACTGATAAACCAAATAAACGTAGTTGAGATACAACAGCAAATGAATAAGCAGTACATATAAAACAAACCGAATTCAGCTTCAAATACTTCCAATTTCAATTAGTATTTGTAATTGTCGCAACTAATTATATAGAAAAATTCAACAAAAGTTTCCAAAGTTTGCAAAGAACCTGAAAAATATTACTGAAAGAATGAAGCGTTAAAGCAAACCTGTAAAAGAGTCGAAACGTACGTCATGACTTACTTGAGGAAATATAACGTTTAAAAAAAAGGAAAAAAAACTCTCCAATTCATATTATTTCTGAAGTTAGAATACAATGCTGAAACAGAGATATAAGTGACGTTGTTAATGTGCAATGATTAAACATCACACAAAATTTAAAAGCCAACTGATCAAATAAATACTTATGTATGAATAAAAATACTATTAGTAACTTTGAACAAAAAGAAAAATAATATAATACTACGTCAAAAAATATTATATATATATATAACAAAAAGTGAAGTGCAAATATTTGAAGAAAAAATGACAAAACGTTGAGAAACTCGATGAATTGATGTTTCTCATTTGTCTATTGCAAAAATTTGATTCTTTTTTCATTTTCTTTCCATTCTAATTTCGAAGTTTGCTGCTTTTCCTTGAATCGTATTCAATTTTCACAAATACAAAAGAAAAGTTTTAATTTCAAAAACTTAATTATGATAATATTATATTAAAAACATATCTTCCCTCATTAATGCGTACTACTTCCTTAACCATTTTTACTTATTAAAAATATAAATACAAAAACGATTAGAAACAAATCTTATGATTATAATAAGCATTTAAATAAATTCCATTTCCGAAAAGTCCTGTTGCATAAATATCATTCTGATCGTTGCTGAAATACGAATCCAAAAGTCTTAACTATCGTTCCTTCCAAACAGCAATTTTTTATATGTTTGACTTTTTTTTCCATAATGAATTGTTAAAAACTAAATAGCATTTACATTTCACAGTAATATTTGTCTTCCTTTACAGAGTAAGAATGACAAACTGGTATTTTTCTTGAAAAAATTAAAGTGTAAAATATAAGACAAATGATTTAGCAGCAAGTATAGTTCTAGTGATTGCACTAACTACACTTGACTCCATGCAAATATGTGCACTAATGATCATCTACTTCTTATAATAATTTTAGATTAAAAAACTGGCACCACAGAAAATTAATACATATATGAGAAATCTGAACTGCTTAATGTACACTAAAAACGATTGCAAGCAAGAATTAGCAATGCATCATGACGAAAATATTTCACATTTTAATCAGAACTGATGATAGCTACAATAAATGCATAACGAGGAAAAAAAAGAATTCTGAATTATGTCATCTTTATATGCAACTATCAAACTCCATCATTACTTGTTTACTAAGTGAAACAAACGTGAGAATACGTTAATAAATTGTTAGCAATAACAAAAAGCTGCAATGATCTTAAGCAATTTTTATGTGATATGAAAAACAATCGCTAATATTACTTTTCACAATTAATCCCAAAATGATTTACTGTCACTAAAATACCGCTACTTGACTTCATAAAACTATTTTATGCTCAACATCACCAATATTATACGCAATTTAATTATTAGCATATAATATTCTAAAACTAAAACCAGAAATAATTTTGCATATGAATAGTTAGAACCAACATATACAAATAATTGCAATAAAATTTGACTTCAGTCTCATACACGTAAATATATTTCTCAAGTCAGGATGTAAAATAACAACATGAAATAATATAAACTTAGTGTGAGGAAGGAAGCCAACAGAATAATAGTATGTTTGTATAACTTCCAAAAAATTTTGCTAAACTAATTTCTATCTTCAAACATTCTTTCTATCATCCATCTAATATCTTCACGCTTCTAACAAAATTCATGCCTTCAAACATCCGACTGAAGTAATTTATATCTTCAACCTTCGAAGGAAAAATACACAGATTACAGTAAATAACAAAAACAAACAAGTGCCATCAGTTCTCTAAATTCACACTCGATCAACTAACGACTATTTGGTAAATACATATAATAAACACCAGAAAGTACTTTTAAAAAGCACTGAAAAACGAGTCATTGTTGATTATAAAATGAAAGAACTGAAGCGTGATTTACGTCATCAATACTAATATATTTATTTATTCAATTTATTTCACCAGTGCTATCTATTCTACTAATTTTTTTAATGTATTATGATAGTGCTGGGGAAAATTTCACTTTCATTGCCTTTCTGACAAATAAAGCTGATTCGAATGAAAAACCACAAGCAGAACAGTTGATAATTCATACCTTTTTAAACTTCTGAATAATCCTTTTGCCAAATGTTGTTGAGCTCACGTTCCGCTACTTCATTCATACCTCTCGTGACTGAGCAAGATACTCAATGGTAAGGATTATATATCTTTAATACTATTTATTAAATATTTAAATCAATTTCGGTAAACATTTATAAAATGTTATATAAACGAAAGATTGCCTAATACAGAAAGGTCACAAAGTTATATATCAAATCAATTAATTGATAAACTTAATGATCGTTAGAAATTAATTAATATAAAATAGTTTAAAAATTAGAAAAATATAATATAATATTGACAAAATCAACCAAAAAGTTCACGGAACTCTTATTTACCAATCCCATTTCCTCACTAAAATTATCATTAATAATAAAAATATAACATACCAAAGTGAATGAAATTCTCTTCCAGTTACCTTTATGAATACCATAATCATATGTTTGATATCGCGATAAAATGTCTACAAGCAAGTAATTACCAATTACAAAAATAGCAAATATGACTTTAAATGCTTATTATGCTTATTAGCGGACGAAGATTTGCTAGAAATATAAGTAATCTAATGCAGATATGAATGCTAAAAATAATACTGCCTCATTAACATGTGCTATTAATCTTAAAATGTATGCAAAATTTGTTGAACCCAACAATAATCATATGCTTTATTTTTTGAAACAGATTACTTATACTGTTAGTTAATAGTAATCTTATTAAAAATCTAACATAAAAAAGCTTCACATGATCGTAAGCTTCACATTTAAACGCAAAACATACAAAACGAGCAAGTAATAAGTTTGCTCTCATGTTTACAGAGAAAAACTGAGATTTGAGAACACGTATGAAAGTGAAATCATGCAAAAATTGCAAAATTGGAAATGGCGTACTACTATAAATCACGTGAATCAGTTAGGAGTAATTACATAAATTTTATGATTTATACCAGTCAGATTTCTCAACCTGAAAAGTTTTTGCGTTCTTTGAATAAAACTTGTTGAGCAGTGTAAATAAACCAAATGAGGTCAGCTGTACTGCAAACGAGTTGAATTGATTTGTACTGCCTAACGTTTAATCGGGTCAGCTCAATTTTTAGTATTTGAGTTGGTAGTATCGAGAAAACTGATCCGCAAGAAGTCAGCTCATTTGTACACTAAAACTCAACTCTAACTAACTCAACACTAAAAGCTTAGAAGAAAGGTGCTCTACTAACATCTCAGCGTATTGATCGGCATTCACATACATACACATACATATATATA